GCAGCAATAGTAATAAACCATAAGACGATAATGGAAATAATTCCAAAGAAAGGAAGGACAACCAAGTTCACACTGTTTTTGTTCTATGAGTCCTCTTATTTTTTTAATGTATTTTTATTGATTTCAGAGAGTAGAAAGAGGGAGAGAGATACAGAAACATCAATGATGAGAGAGAATCATTGATCGGCTATCTCCTGCACTCCCCCTACTGGGGATCAAGCCTGCAACCCTGGCATGTGCCGTGACCTGGTTCATGGGTCAATGCTCAACCACTGAGCCACATTGATCATGCAGTACTAAAACCAAAGTGAGTTCTTTGCAGTGATGTTTTGGCTAATGCAGCATTTACATACAAAACATAAAGAAATAAGTTCAACTCAAAAGAATTTTTCGAAAGAAAGAGCACTAAACTAAAAAGCCAATAAAAACAGATGCAAAATTCCATACATTAACATTAGTGAATTGCGGCTTTCTGAGAAAGGAGCACATTTGGTTGCTAACTAAAAAACATTACCAAGACACTAGTAAAAGACTATATCAAAGATGTTTGCTTGGAAATCTGTGACAAAGAAAGTAATTCAGGTACAACTTTCCAATGACACCAAAGCTTGAAGTAGTTCAGGCTCTGGCTTATGGTAGTGAAAACTAAAATAAAGTTAGCAAAGTGATTTTTCAATGCAATTTGAAGAATGCCAGATTACTTCAAACATGAAAATTATCATGGTATGTTTGTGATTTAAACGTAAGGGTGATATAAAGGATTCCTTTATCAGTTTCTTGCTGACAAACATACTGGACACTAATCTGTATGATAAAACTAGGGTCATATTGTCAACAAATGTGATTTGAAGTATAAAGTGTTTGGAAGAGTATATTCCAAAGACACAGCTGGCAAGATGGAAAAACAATTTAGATTGAGAAGCTTGTGCTAGAATGTACATTAAAACACTGCTTCCGTCACGGATAAAAGTCTTGCTCCAAAAAAATCTTGCTACAGTAGTAAAGATTATGAATTATCTAAGGTTAATGCCTTAAAATTTTAAATGACTCTATATGTGATAAACTGAAAGCAGATCATAAATGTGTATATGCTATACTGCATGCTAAAATACAATGGTTATGGAAGAGAAAAATGCTGCTGAGAATGATGAACTAGGAAATAAACAGTTTTTCCAAAAGAAAAAATAATCATTGCTTCCCAATTTTAAAGATCTCAACTAGACAGTAAAACTTGCTTATTTCTATGATATCTTTGGTATGTTTAATAATCTTAGTACTCCCATGCAAGGACATTTCAACATGTTTTTCAGTAGCAAATAAAATATAAGGGTAAACAATGAAAATTAAGATGCCTGGAAGAACAGAGTTACTATAGATTAACAATTTTATAGAAGGTTTAGAACTGTATTTTCTATCAAAATAAAACCCACACACAAGAATTCATGCATCCAGAAGTATAACTTAAATCCTATCTAATGCGAAGAAGCGAGAAACACCCAACCGGAAAAGCAAAATGAAAAAAGAACCCAAAAATACGAAGATAGTGTAAGGAGCCTCTGGGACAGCTTCAAACGTACCAACATCAGAATTATAGGGGTACCAGAAGATGAGAGAGAGCAAGATATTGAAAACCTATTTGAAGAAATAATGACAGAAAACTTCCCCCACCTGGTGAAAGAAATAGACTTACAAGTCCAGGAAGCGCAGAGAACCCCAAACAAAAGGAATCCAAAGAGGACCACACCAAGACACATCATAATTAAAATGCCAAGAGCAAAAGACAAAGAGAGAATCCTAAAAGCAGCAAGAGAAAGAAAATCAGTTACCTACAAGGGAGTACCCATACGACTGTCAGCTGATTTCTCAACAGAAACTTTGCAGGCCAGAAGGGAGTGGCAAGAAATATTCAAAGTGATGAATACCAAGAACCTACAACCAAGAATACTTTATCCAGCAAAGCTATCATTCAGAATTGAAGGTCAGATAAAGAGCTTCACAGATAAGGAAAAGCTAAAGGAGTTCATCACCACCAAACCAGTATTATACGAAATGCTGAAAGGTATCCTTTAAGAAGAGGAAGAAGAAGAAAAAGGTAAAGATACAAATTATGAACAACAAACATGCATCTATCAACAAGTGAATCTAAGAACCAAGTGAATAAATAATCTGATGTACAGAATGAACTGGTGATTATAATGAATCAGGGACATAGAAAGGGAATGGACTGACTATTCTTGGGGGGGAAAGGGGAATGGGAGATGCGGGAAGAGACTGGACAAAAATCGTGCACCTATGGATGAGGACAGTGGGTGGGGAGTGAGGGCGGAGGGTGGGGTGGGAGCTGGAAGGAGGGGAGTTATGGGGGGAAAAAAGAGGAACAAATGTAATAATCAGAACAATAAAGATTTAATTTTAAAAAAAAAAATAAAGAGGGAATATGTTAATTGACTTTTCTGCCCTCAAAGATGGCGGCACCCACAGCCAATAAAGAGGGAATATGCTAACTGACTGCCCCACCCTCAAAGATGGCGGCATCCACAGCCAATAAGGAGGGAATATGCTAATTGACTGCCACACCCTCAAAGATGGTGGCACCCACAGTCACAAGATGGTGGTGCCCAGTCCCCTCTGCCCCACCGGGGCGGCAGGTGCGCCTGCCTCCGGAGTCCCTCAGTCCCCTCAGCCCGAGGCACAGGCAAGCCTCGGATGGCAGCTGCCCAGCTGCCCAGGGCCGGTCAAGGCTTGCGCTGCTGGCAGTGGTAGCAGCAGAGGTGTGATGGGGCGTCACCTTCCCCTGATCGCTGGGTTGACTCCCGCCCCTGAGGGCTCCTGGACTGTGAGAGGGGGCAGGCCGGGCTGAGGGTCCCCCCCCCTCCACATCCAGTGCATGAATTTTCATGCACTAGGCCTCTAGTCTATAATAAAAGTGTAATATGCTAATTAACCAGATGGCCAAACGACCTCCGGACGTCCTGGACGAAGCCGGGGCTGCGAGGGCTGAGGCAAGCTGCCTGGGCTGTGAGGGCCGAGTCCCTTGCACGAATTTCGTGCATCAGGCCTCTAGTTTAATTATAATTTGACAGAATAAACTATTGATATGGGCAGGATACTGATAAAGTACTAAAGATGAACTCTGAAAATACAGTATCACTGGCTTCATTTCAAACAAAAGTAAAAATGAAAATCTTGAACTTAGTGAAATGGCTTTAAAATCTAAACTTCTATTCTCATGGGAATATCTGAGATTAATTTCTTTTTTAAAAACATATTTTTATTGATTTCAGAGCGAAAGGGAGAGGGATAGAGAGATAGAAACATCAATGATGAGAGAATGTATTGATTGGCTGCTTCCTGAACGCCGCTACTGGGGATCAAGCCTGCGACCAGGGCCTGTGCCTTTGACCGAAATTGAACCTGGGACCCTTCAGTCCACATGCCGACACTCTATCCACTGAGCCAAACCAGCTAGGGCTGAGATTAATTTCTTTATGATGAATATTATCTTTTTAAAAAAAGAAAACAACACAGAAATAATTTACATATACATTATCCTCCAGGAGTAGTATTGTCATCAACCCAACTCAGATTAGATACATTAACATGAAAAAAATAAGCTATTTTATTTAATTTAAAACTTTAAGTGAAATTTTTCAGAAGAAAAAGTTGGGGAGAAAATTTTTTTTAAGTATTAAGAAGTTTTGCTCCACACCATTTATAAAACTAATATTACCGAATTCTTTTTTCCAAGATGTATTTTCACTGGATGAAATAATTGCTGGAAACTTAGATATTATTTTTAAGAATATTTATTTTAGCCCTGCCCAGGTGGCTCAGTTACTTGGAGTGTCATCCCATATACCAAAAAGCTGCGGGTTTGATTCCCAGTCAGGGCATATGCCTAGGTTGTGGGTTCCATTTTTGGTTGGGCACGTATGGGAGGCAACCAATTAATGTTTTTCTCTCTCACATCGATGTTTTTCTCTCTCTCCCTTCATCTCTCTCTAAAAATCAATAAAAACATGTCCTCAGGTGAGGATTAAAAAAAAGAATGTCGATTTTAGTGGAAATTATCTTTTCAAAGAGCATACAGGTCTAATTAATTACTGTCAAAAAAATAAATGTGATTACCTAAAAATTATTAATTGGCACTTTATGTACTCTCATTTAGCTCTAAAGTACAGATCTGCTGTTTTCACATAATAAAGTTTAAGTAAGTAGGAAAGAGGAAATTCTCAGCATGTGGCTATTACCTGGAATGGCCAGGAGGTTATTAAGTCCCTAACTGTTTTTCTAAACCAGTAACAATAACAAACCTCCTGAATCAATTTAAAAAATAATATTAATGCCCTAGCCAGTTTGGCTCAGTGGATAGAGTGTCGGCCTGTGGACTAAAGGGGCCCCGGTTCGATTCCGGTTAAGGGCACGTGCCCAGGTTTTGGGCTCGATCCCCAGTAGGGTGCATTCAGGAAGCAGCCAATCAATGAATTTCTTTTATCATTGATGTTTCTATCTCTGCCTCTACCTTCCTCTCTGAAATCAATAAAAAACAACAACAATAATAATAATAGTAATAGTAATATTAAGGTAAGGAAATAATATTGGAACCAAATTTCTCTCCTGGCACTTTTAATTCTTATCTGATTTCAGAGGCTTCACTGGGGCTCATACTTCATAGTCAAGTAAAGTAATAAATGGAGAAATGACAGCCGAAGTCACAAGACATGTCAATGAGAATGTGGAACCATATACTTTACTCATACATTTTCCTGTTTCTGTTCAGCCAACCACTTCATAATACTCCAAAACTAGATTTTGATATGTGAAAGGCCCTTTCTCACATTCTCTGATAATTCATGGAACCACTGTTTTCTCTGAGATCAAATATAACTCTCCCAAAATATTATGATGGGGTGGAATGAGGACAGATGACTCATAGCACCATTTAGAAAGATGCTCATTTTTAAAAGAACTAGTTTGGAAGTTTGTGAAGGTCATCTTACCTGACTTCTTCACCAGCAAAATCAAACACCTTGGTGATTTTAACTTTTTCTGTTTCTTTAGGTTTCTCTAGCTCTTCGGCTTTGACCAACAGTTTATTTGAACTAGTCTCTTCAGTCTCTTCTCTTTTCTATGAAAAGAGAAATGTAATCAGTTTCACATAAGAATTAAATATAAACGAACCATTCAAACATGCTGTTTATGGCTATTCATAAATGTTTCATCTCTAAACAGTTAAAGAGCTACTGAAAATTTATTTGATTGGAAAAGCTAATTTTTCCTACCAGAGGGAATGCTTTACTTTTCACTTAATAGAGTTACTATCAAAAGGCATCTATGTAGTCTTTCTTTTTTTATTCTTTTAAATCTATTTTTATTTTTGCAACATAATGTTGCAAACTCAAGAAAACTTTTAAATCTAGGACTACTGATTAAGATGCACACTGGGGGATACAGAGAGGAAGGAAGAGGGAAAGAGATACAGAAATATCAACGATGACAATCACTGACTGGCTGCCTCCTACACGTCCCCCACTGGAGATCGAGCCCGCAACCTGGGCATGTGCCCTTGATGGGAATCGAACCCGGGACCCTTCAGTCTGCAGGCCGGCACTCTATCCACTGAGCCAAACCAGTTAGGGCTATGTAGTCTGATTTCTGCTAGAAGATTCAAATCTCAGTTTGTAAATGTAATAAAATCTATTTGGACAATTTAGGGTATTTCTGGAGAAACTTCATCTCATTCACCTAGCAACTTACTTTAACTTGTGGACTCGAGGGCACTTTTGATTTTGGTCCCACATCGTTGAGGAAGCTGGCCCACAGTTCATCCTCCTTCTTTTTCCTTGCATCCTCGGACCTGGTGCCTCCTTCTTGCTCTGCAGCTGTGTCTTCCTCCTCATTGCTGCTTCCTCCAGATTCCCCACTGACATCCTCCTCTTCCTCTTCTTCTAATGAGAGGCCACCTTGTTTTCTCTTCCTAATCACCAACATTACAAGGAAAAAGAAAGAGAAGACATGCAAAATGATTTCAGTTATCCCTTCCTCAATTCCAAACATAATGTTGCAAACTCAAGAAAACTTTTAAATCCAGGACTACTAAGATGCACACTGAGGAAGCTTAGAAGAGGTACACTGAGATTTTGTGGAAGAAAAAAAGAATTGAGCTCTTAGCTTCCTCTAAAACACTTGGAATCAAAATACAGTGTTCTACTTCTAAGTCAGGACCAGCTATTTTCACCAAGAAACACCCCAAATCACCTCACAGAATCAATCTGTCTAGCAAGAGTGTTCCAAGAATATATATAGCAGATTTTTTTGACTTTTTGAAGTCAACACATTTGGAGAATATGCTTTATTGAGGAGAGCCTCAAATTTATTTGCACTGTTTATTCCTACAATTCCCTAGGGACAGGATCCATATTTCTTCCCATTTTCTGAAGATATGAAAGCTGGAATACAGAAAATTTCAAAGACAAAGAAACTGGACCCAAAACTTATGCAAGTAAATTGATTTTAACTTCAAGTGAATTTAATACCTAAAATTCCTTTTTCCCTTTTTATAAATTACAATTTGCTTTTTGCCAGAGAGACAGAAACACCAATCAAAGAGAATAAAAGACTTCTATGGAAGATTCTCTTATGTGAGTTAAATAACCCAACAGAATTTTCATAATTTTTGGAGGGAGTGTAATTCAGTACCAGGTCTATAGAAGGTAATTTGCTAATATCTATAAATAATTTTTTTATTGCATATAACCTTTGATTAAACAATTCTACTTCTACAGACCTGATTTACAGGTATACTTCCACATTTACATGAAGATATATATAAAAAATATTCACTGCAGTCTTGTTTGTTGTAGTAAAGATGAGGTACAAATTAAATATGTCTCAATAAGAGAATCCTTAAATAAAATAAGGTCTATTCATACAGTGAAATATTATGCAGCCACTGAAAAGAATATAGCTAGATATATTTCCATGGTATCATCTTCAAGATGTAAAATAATGAAAATAAGAAACAATAAGCAGAGTATGCCATTTGCTGTTGTTGTTTTTAAAGAAAGTAGGAAATATATACATACACACTTGCACATGCACAGAATATCTCTGGTAGCAAAGTTCTTCTGAGGCACAACAAGGGCTAGAAATGGGGTACACATTTTGGTAGTAACTAAGTTTTTCATTTTAATTGTGTACATATTACCTATTAAATTTTTTAAATTAGTACTCAAAATAATTTTAATCCTGAAATGTCACCAAATGTTTCCCTTCAACGGTAAGAAACCCTAGCAGCAACTCCAATCCCAGCAATCAGGATGGTAGTGACACTAGCCCTGACTTCTAAGGGCCCTGTGGGCAGCGTTACCTGGCAGGAATGCTCTGAGCCTTTCTTTTTTTCCCTTTGGTTTTCTGTGTTTGCTCTTCACCATCCACTTCATCTTCCTTCACTAATTCATTTACATCATCTTCACTATACTCTCCACCTGAAATCACATAATAGAGTGGTCAGACAGGAATAAAGGTTTCCATATCAAGTTGAGACATTTGCATTAAGAAAAAAGTTTAGTACTTCCCTCTATTCTTCACCTAACTACAATATTTACTTCCTTAGAGAAAGCGTCCCTGTCCCTGGAGACTAGGCTAGGTTCCCGGATTCTACGCTTCCACAGCAGTATATATTTTCCTCCGTAACTCATCCCACTTAGATTTAATGTTTGCAATTTCTACTCTACTCTACACACCATGAGGATATGGATCCTGTTTTGTCTTTATAGATTTTTTTCTGAATAAATGAATGAATAGAAATTCCAATTCTACCTACTGTACTTTTCAAAGAAGAACCTGATGTTCCCACTTTATCTTGGATACATTTCAAAAGTGAGCAAGTAATACCTTGTCTTGTCAATAACGAAGGTTTAGAAAGAGGTCTAACGACTTCCAGTTAGACATAGCAGAAAGAACAAACATATCTATTCCCCATCCTCAGACACTGACATTCAGGCATCCCCAATGAAAGAGTGTTGCTTGGATGCCCAGAATGACCACACTGTGGGCACCAGTCAATAAATCCTGCTCACATAGATATTCAACTAGCTTTTTTACTTCATAGAAACTTTTTGTTGTTGTTGTTAATTCTCACCAGAGGATATTTTTCCACTGATCTTTTTAGAGAGTGGAAGAGAGAGAGAAAGACGAAGAGAAACATCGATGTGAGAGAAACACATCGATTGGTTGCCTCATGCATGCACCCGGACCAGGGCCAGAGCTGGGAGGAGCCTGCAACCGAGGTACGTGCCCTTGACAGGAATCGAACCTGGGACCCTCTGGTCTGCAGGCCAATGCTCTATCCACTGAACCAAAGCGGCTAGGGCACTTCATATAAACTTTTATTTGAAGCATAACACATGTATGAAAAAACACACAAATCTAATGTATACTTCAATAAAATTATGTGAAGTGAACACACATAGAACCAGGACCCAATTCAAGAAGCTGAACATGATGATCAGAATTCCATAAGGCCCCTTGGGTCCCCTTCCAGTCACTAGTCACTGGGCCCATCCCAAAGGCAACCACTATCCTGACTTCCAATACCTCAGATTAGTTTGGTGTGTTTTTGAGCATTAAAGAAACAGAAGCCTACAGTATGTACTCTTTTGTGTCTGGTTGCTTTCACTCAACATTCTGTTTGTGACAGGCACCCTTATTATTGCATGTAGACGTAGTTTATTCATTCTCACTCCAAAATAGTATTTCATTGTATGACTAGACCACAACATATTTATCCATTCTTCTGTTGATAGACATTTAGGTTGTTTCCAGTTTGAAACCCTTAGAAATAGTGCTGTTTTGAATATTCCTTACATCTAATCAGCTTTTAAATATCTCACTCACAATGAACCAACCACTTCAGGGAGGCCTCCAATATGAAAGGCAATACTGAAAACAAGCAGAAAGAAAATCAAAAGAAACAGAAAAGAAAAACACCCAAAAGTTACAACTCTTTTTTTTAAAAAAGCCTTTATAATTAATATCCTCAAAGAGACATCCATGAAATAAAAATGATTTAAAAATATTTTTTTCAAAAAACTAAAACAAAACTCTTGAAAACTACAACTCTGATAGCAGAGATTAGAAAAAGAGAAGAAGTAAGATGCTGAAAAGAAGCCAGCCATGTGATAATCTGGAGAACAATTGAGGCTGAGGAAACAGTAAATATAAGGGTTCTAAAATGGAAACAAGTTTGGTATCTTGACACCAAGTGATAGGTAAAAGTGTTTCATGAAGGAGGAACACTTAACCAGGTTAAGATGGCAATCTGAACACACAAATGTAATTTTGATTCCTCCTGACACCCCAGTAAAATCACTACAGCAAAGGACTTTTAAAAGACATGAACCTACAATGGTGGGCACTTAACTGCATTGTATTTGTTTATATTTGCAAAAGGCAACACTAGAAGGATAAACAAAAAAATGAATGAAAATAGCCATCTATATGGGTTAGGACAGAACAGGGTGCAGTAGGCAGGGGCAGAAGCTAGAGTTCTCCGTGTTTATCTTTCTACAGAATTTTGAACATTCTCTTAAGAACAATTTAAGTAAATAAATATAACTATATGCCCAAACAATAACATAACCCACAAAAAAGGGATTCCAAGGAGTTAGAAACATAGTATTTTGATTGTGCATCCTTAGCAAGATGCAGTGTAAAGACGAAAAGTTCTCCTCCTTGTAGTTATATCAATGTTGGTATTGTGAAACTATTTCCTTTATATGTTAGGTGAAAGCAAGTAATGAATTATGTTAATCACGTTAGGAATCTAGATGCTGAGAATAAGAGAAATGACACAATTATAAAATCAAAGAAATTAAGAGAGAAAACACAAATGTTAAAACAGAATTTAAAGTATCAATATGAACTCTCATTTTAAGATAAATATTTTCTAGTTTGTTCACTCAAATGGCACAGAAAAAATATCATACTAGTAGCAATGATAATCTCTTTAAAGTTCAGATCTCATTCTTTGATATGTTTCATCACCAAAAGTGCTCCCTGAAAACAACAACAACAAAAAAAAAAACGAGCTAATTTCAGGTCTAAGAGAGGAAAGCACAATGTGAAACTGGGTCGTTTTGCTGTGCCAGAAAGCAAGGAATGGGTCACTTTAAAAGGTTTTAAGACCCAGCTTGAAAGAAGTCCTAGTGGCCAAAGTGGTAACATGAGCATTAAAAGGAATAACTGTTGGTATATTAAAACACATGTAATGAGCCCTGACCAGTTTGGCTCAGTGGCTAGAGCGTCGGCCGGTGGACTGAAAAGTCCCAGGTTCGATTCCGGTCAAGGGCATGTACCTTGGTTGCGGGCACATCCCCAGTAGGAGGTGTGCAGGAGGCAGCTGATCGATGTTTCTCTCTCATGGATGTTTCTAACTTTCTATCCCTCTCCCTTCCTCTCTGTAAAAAATCAATAAAATATATATTTTTTAAAAAACACATGTAATGATAAAAATCTGTGAACCTGCCCAGACTTTGTGGTTCAGTGGTTGAGCGTTGACCTATGAACCAGGAGGTCACAGTTAGATTCCCAGCCGGGGCACATGCCCGGGTTGTGGGCTCAATCCCCAGTAGGGGTCGTGCAGCTGATCGATGATTCTCTCTCATCATTGATGTTTCTATCTCTCTTCCTCTCTGTAATCAATAAAAAAATTTTAAAATCTGTGAGCCCTTTATGATATTCAAAAATACTAAAAATAATTTGTACCATTTTAGGGTACTATTAAAATAACTCCCCATTTTGCCCTGGCAGGGTGGCTCAGTTGGTTGGAGCATCATCCTGCAAATCAAAAGGTTGCAGGCTGGATCCCCAGTCGGCAAAATTGGACAATATTTGTCCATTTTTGTGCTTTATTGTCTACTAGAGGCCCAGTGCACAAAATTCATGCATGGGTAGGGTCCCTAGGCACCCGCCTTGGCTGGCCTGGGGCCTGCAGGCTGGGGGCAGCTCCTGCATTGAGCATCTGCCCCCTGGTGGTCAGTGCACGTCATAGCGACCGGTCGTTCCACCAGTCATTCTGATGTTCGGTCGACTTGCATATTAGGCTTTTATTATATAGGATAGGGTTGTTATTCTGCTTCTTATTCCCTTCCCACCCCCAACCCCACCCCCATAGTAGCTGCATGGAATTTGAGGCAATTAAGAGAGGTCTCTCTCTCCCCCCCTTCCTCTCTTTCTAAAATCAATCAATAAAAATAATAAAGTAACTCCCCATGTTGAAAATTGACAATTAAGGAAAATGAATTAAAAATTTATCCTGTCCCAAGTGATGAGGAAAAGCTATATATACTTTACAGAAGAACATCAATTAATAAATGTAAAAAAAAAACACCATAGAATTAGAAAAACAGCACTTCTCTAATAATAGTAGTAATTTAGACAAGAATTATCAAGTAATGTTAAAAAAAAAAAACAAAAAACCCACACACAGTTTAAGTTTTAACCATTAGGTAAACTGCCACAGAGAATACTTTCAGTTCCAAGAAGGTTTACATAAAGAGGGATCAGACTCTCATCATCTTGATTCAGTAGTCACAACTATGGGAATCAACCAGGTATAATGTGTCTTCTGATGTTATGCATTGTGTTACACACAAGTCATCTATAATATATTCTAGCCAAAAATATTTTATTTAAACCAACTGAGCATTTAGATCTAACTTCTAATGTATGGTAAATTCAAGGGACAAAGGAACAACTTAAAATAATACAATGAGGGAGCAACAAATCCTGAAGGTGAGACATTCTGCAGGACACATGGCCTGATCCTCTTAGGCAAATCAATGTCATTAGACAAAAGCTTCTATTAGATTAAACAGATTTCAGGGATGGAACAACTACATGATATGTATAGTCCTGAACTGAACTGTGATTTGGACAGACAAGCTATAGCTATTTTGGGGTCAACTGGGAAAATATGAATATGGTCTGTGTATTAAATGAGTTGAAAGTTTACAGAAATGGATAGGAAAAGATTCATTCACTGGAAAGAGGAGGTTACAAAGTAACATGAAAAAGTATAATTTCAGGTTGATGAAAATACAAATATCTATTTGTGGGTGTAGAAAAAGATCAGAGTGAATATTTACTAAGGAATTAAAACTGATAATCTCTGGGTGGTGAGAATGTAAAGATTCTATTTTTTTAATGTTTAATTGCCTGCATTTTCTAATTTTCTGCAAAGCCCGTGAACTGCTTTCATAATATAAAGTTACTTTTCATCATATAAATGGACAAATGTTGCATTGCAGACGGTTCAGGCAAGAAGATGCACATGGCTCTGGTTCTCAAACACGTAAAAAGATGCTCAATCTGACTGATAAGAGATAAACACATTTTAAATTAAACAAAACAAGATCAAATTCCATGCAGCTACCATGGGGTCAGGGTTGGAGGGATGGGGAGGGAATAAGAAGCAGAATAACAACCCTATAAACCAGGGGTCCTCAAACTTTTTAAACAGGGGGCCAGTTCACTGTCCCTCAGACCGTTGGAGGGCCGGACTATAGTTTAAAAAAAAACTATGAACAAATTCCTATGCACACAGCGGCGGCAAAAACACCCGGCGGGCCGGATAAATGTTTTCGGCGGGCGGCATGTGGCCCGCGGGCCGTAGTTTGAGGACCCCTGCTATAAACAATAAAGCACAAAAAGGAAAAATACTGTATTGTCCAAAGACTCAGAGATTATATCACCTTTTTATTCCTCCATGCTTAAATATGAGCCAAACAACTAAGAATCACAGAAAATCTGAGAAAGCATCTAACACAGCGGGCGGCATGTGATGACACGCATGTCAGAGGTCACACGTGAACTCATTTTTTTGGTTGATTTTTCTTTGTTAAATGGCATTTAAATATATAAAATAAATATCAAAAATATAAATCTTTGTTTTACTATGGTTGCAAATATCAAAAAATTTCTATATGTGACACGGCACCAGAGTTAAGTTAGGGTTTTTCAAAATGCTGACACGCCAAGCTCAAAAGGTTCGCCATCACTGATCTAACATAATAAAGCCCAAAACAAACAGCAATGTATAAAAAGAATATATTATGACCACATAAGTTTATCTCAGTATTAAAAGGCTGTTCAAAATTTAAAAATCAATTAACAAGCAAAACGGAGACAGATTCATAGACAGAGAGCAGGCTGACAAATGGGGGCTGGAGGTAAGTGTGAGGGATTGAGCAAAAAAGAAGGAAAAAAAGAGAAAAAACTCATGAGCACAGACAACAGTGTGGTGAGGAGGGATGGGGGATAAATGGTGATGCACTGAGATTTGACTTGGGGTAGTGAACACACAATACAGAAGATGTGTTGTAAAATTGTGCATCTGAAACCTGAATAATTTTGTTAACCAGTGTCACCCCAATAAATTCATTAAAAAGGTAAAAAAAATTTTAATCAATCACTAATTCACCACATTAACAGACAACAGAAGAAAAACACATAATCAATACATAGAGGAAAGGCATTTGACAAAGTTCATCTCTCAGCAAATTAGGAATAGAGGGAACTTTAACCTGATAAAGAGCATCTGTGAGAGGCAGTATATGCAGAATACCAGCATTCAAATCCCAGCTTAGCTACTATTTAGTTGGGTCACTTTGGGGGCCTCAGTTCCTTTATCTGTAAAGTGGTATTATGTGATTTAGTTAGTCAATGTAAAATGCTTAAAACAAACACACACACATAAAAGTCAACTGTGAAAAATCTATAGCTAACATTTCACTCTGATTCTTTCAAGGCAAGGATGGTGACTATCATCATTATTATTCAACATCATACTGGAAGTCATATCAAGTACAATAAGGCAAGCAAAAGAAATTAAAGATATATCTAGGGAAAGGAAGAAATAAAACTGTTTCTACTCACAGACATGATCCATGGTGGGGGGGGCGGGGGAATAAGCCTTGGACTTGTTGATTTTGGTGGTAGTTACACAATTCTAAGCATTTATAGAAACTCATAGAGCAGTACACCAAAAAGAGTGAATGTTACTGTATGTAAGTTACAATTTTTTTAAATGTAAGTATTATTGCCCTAAGTCAGTGGCCGGCAAACTGCGGCTCAAGAGCCACATGTGGCTCTTTGGCCCCTTGAGTGTGGCTCTTCCACAAAATACCGACTTCTGCGCATGGCCACGAAGTTTCAATTGCACTGTACGTGCGCGCCCACACATGGTATTTTGTGGAAGAATCACACTCAAGGGGCCAAAGAGCCACATGTGGCTCACGAGCCGCAGTTTGTCGACCACAGCCCTAGGTGGTTTGGCTTAGTGGATAGAGCGTCAGCCTGTGGAATGAAGAGTCCCAGGTTCAATTCCAGTCAAGGGCACATGCCCGGGTTGCGGGTTTGATCCACTCCCCACTCACCCCCAGTGGGGGACGTGCAGGAGGCAGCCTATCAATAATTCTCTCTCATCATTGATGTTTCTATCTCTCTCTCCCTTTCCCTTCCTCTCTGAAATCAATAAAAATTCAAACAATTCATGCCCTAGCCAGTTTGGCTCAGGGGATAGAGCATCGGCCTTCGGACTCAAGGGTCCCACGTTCGATTCTGCCCTTGGTTGTGGGCACGTACCCAGTGGGGAGTGTGCAGGAGGCAGCTGATTGATGTTTCTCTCTCATTGATGTTTCTAACTGTCTATCCCTCTCCCTTCCTCTCTGTAAAAAATCAATAAACTATATATTTTTTTAAAAATTCAAACAATTCAATACTAAAACCACAAATAATCCAATTTAAAAAATGGGCAGAGGACCTAAATAAACACTTCTCCAAAGAGGACATAAGATGGCCAACAGACATATGAAAAGATGCTCAACATCATTAATCATCAGAGAAATGCAAATTAAAACCACAATGAGCTATCTCCTTATACCTGCCAGATGGCTATCATCAATAAATCTACAAACAATAAGTGTTTGTGAGGAAGTGGAGAAAAGGGAGCCCTCCTGCCTTGTTGGTGGGAATGCAGATTGGTGTAGCCGCTATGGAAAACAGTATGGAGGGTCCTCAAAAAAATTAAAAATGGAACTGCCTTCCCTGGCCAGTTGGCTCAGTTGGTTGGGCGTTGTCCTGTGCACCAAAAGATTGCTGAATTCAAGTCAGGGAACATGCTCTGGTTTGGGGCTTGATCCCTGGTAGGGAGCAGGAGGCAGCCCACTGATGTTTTGCTCTCACAATGATGTTTCTCTCTCTCTCTTCCTGCTTCTCTCTCTTTAAAAAAATCAATAAAAACAATAAATAAATAAATAGGCTTAATTTTGCCTTAAGCAAAATGCCCCCTTGGAAATAACCCCTTTCAGACCCTTCCTCCTAAATCGGGCCACATAACCTCAATTATCCTGTAATCCAATCCCCAATCTCCCCTTGCCTTCCCCCACTTTCAGTAATCTTCCTTAGGATCCCTCCTTAATCTTTTTTAATATATTTTTATTGATTTCAGAGGGGAAAGGGGAGGGAGAGATAGAAACATCAGTGATGAGTCATTGATCAGCTGCTTCCTGCACGCCCCACACTGGAAATCGAGCCCGCAACCCAGGCATATGTCCTTGACCGGAATCGAATGAACAGTGACCTTCCGGTTCATAGGTCGAAGCTCAACCACTGAGCCACCCCTGCCGGGCCCTCCTTAATTTTAAATGCATAAAAGAAACTGCAAACTGCTATTCTCTGGAACATATGAGATTTTGCTACCCAACTGACATACATCATCTATTTGGCTCAAATAAAATCTTTTTTTAAAATATATTTTTATTGATTTCAGAGAGGAAGGGAGAGGGAGAGACAGAAACTTCAATGATGAGAGAGAATCATTGATTGGCTGCCTCCTGCACACCCCCTGCTGGGGATCGAGCCTGCAACCTGGGCATGTGCCCTTGACCGGAATCGAACCTGGGACCCTTCAGTCCCCAGGCCCAGGCTATATCCACTGAGCCAAACCAGCTGGGGCTCAAATAAACTCTTATAAAAAATTCTCTACAGGTTTGGGTATTTCTTATATCAACAAACTGAATACTAATCTAACCAAAATTGGACATAAGAACAATGGCAAACTGGAGAGTTGCTCAGGACCTGAGGTGGAGGGGTGTCTGCGCTGGGAGTGGGAGGAATGAGACTGGGGATGATTGACAGGGATGATGGGAACTGCTTGGTTTCAAAACAAGCCTTTTTGGTTAAAATGAAAACTAGTCTTCCAATGATCACTCTGGCCATTACTGTCAGACCAAAGCTGGTGGACAAGACTGGAATCCGGGAAACCAGTGGGGAAGCTATGACGAGCCCTAATGAAGGATCCCCAATGAAGGATCCCCGTAGCTCAGTAGCAGTGAGATTGGCAAGGGCGTGGTCAGAAACGTGTTCTCCACGTAGACACAACAGAACTTACTGACAGGTTGGACCAAAAGTGCGGAACAAGGATGACTCCACTCCTCGGGGGTTTTGTCTGCTTTCTACCAAAGCGATTGTATGGATACTTCTAATGAGATGGGAAAGTCGGGGAAGGCGCAGGATGGCGGACGACGTAAGTTTGTTTGGGTGACGATTTATTTTGGCCCCGCTCAGTTGGAGGTCCCTACACAAAACAATACACAAAATGAGTTCTGAGGCCCTGGCCGGTGTGCACAGTGGTTAGTGTTGGCCGCACACGGACGCTTCGCGGGTTCCATTCCCGGTCAAGGGCAGGATTCGCTCCCCGCCGCCGCCCCGTCGGGGCTTGGGGAGGCAACCAATCGATATGTGTCTCTTGCTCTCTCTCTCTCTCTCTCTCTGAAAAACAATGGAAAAAATGTTTTCAGGTGAAAATTAACAACAACAAAAAGTTCTGAAAAGGGAGCAATGGGCATATAAGTTGCAAACAGGCAAAAAGCGTCATCATGTGAACTTTCCACCAACCAGACCCCTTCTGAGGGCAGAAAGCGGACAGATCTATCTTGGACGCGATGCTAGCTAGCCATAACCTCGGGACGGACTAAAATACCTTCCAAAGCTCAGACGGTCGGACCATTTCAGCACTGGCGTGACTAGGGGACGGCGGACCCCGCCAGCGCCCCCTGAGGCAGGGCCCTT